TTTTGTCCTTTAATTTGGACGAATTACTATTCCACTCCCTCAGAGGCATATTTGCACTTTGCATTATTTTATTAGCCTCTCCATAAGTCATTAACAGTTTCTCTTCAGTTGACGTCTCACCCACGAAATTGTCCACATAAAATTGTTTGCTCATTACTTTACTCAATGGACTTCCCGTACATTAAGATGTGCATTTATCGTCGATTGAAGTAGGAACGAACTGGATGTAGCACCAAATAATACGCTCCTAAAGCGAAAGGTTTTCAGAGGGCTAAGTGGGTCATTAGAATTCTCAGGCCATAAGAAGCGGGTACAATCCCGGTCAGCCTCTTGTAAACCCACTCTTAGGAAAGCTTGACTTATGTCAGCCGTAAAGGCATAATTCTTCACCCTGAAATTTAATAAGATATCTCCTAATTTTTCCGTCAATGACGGACCTGTCGTCAAACAGTCATTTAAACTAGGTACATTTTTGTTACTCCTGGCACAACAATTAAACACAATCCTCAGAGGAGTGATCTTAGAATCCTTCTTCACTCCATGATGTGGCAAATAGTGACCATAAATTTTGGCTTGTTCGGGAAAGGTACCTCTTCTATAAATTTTTTAAATTTTAATTGTTCAGTAATTATATCATTATAGGCAGTCAACAATTCTGGTGTCTTACTCAGTTCGCGGAGCTGAGCCTTTAATTGTCATTCTGTAATTAGTGGGCAATTCTGGATGGTTCAGTCTCCATGGAAGTCGTACCCAGTATTGTCCTGATTCAAATTTTACATCTCTCAGGTACTGTTCCTGAGTAAAAGAATCATCTGGACTTTCTTCATTTACATTTATTCCAGTGCTGTCTAATTCCCACAGTTTATGCACTGGCTCAACACCATCCTCTATGGAAGAATTATGTTGGGGCACGATTTCATGAATAAGACACACAGTGATAGTATTTATAGTTTCCTCTAGTCATGCATTATTATTACGCGGAATCCTACCATACATTACATGGCCTCCTGCAGTCTTTAAAAGGGTGACACAACATTTCTTTACTATACCCTTTACAAAGAAGGCATAATAATCACTACCTATCAAAATATTTATTGGGTCTACAGAATCATCATTTACACCAGAAGGTGCTAAATTTACATTAAGTGAAAGTCTTTCTGTAGCTTTACTAAGCCCTACTGTAGATATTTTCTCTGGGAGTCTATCTACAATTACTGCATTAACACGCTTTTTCTCATTGCCCAAACTGACAGTTACATAAACAGTGTCATACAATTAAGCCCTTTTATCTGAGAGAAAACCAGATAATTTTAGAGTTGTAGGATCTCCCATCTGTACTTTCATCCCATCAAGACATTTACGTTTTATGAAAGTACACTGTGATTCCTTGTCTAATAATGAAGTTACATTTTTTAATTTTTGACTTTTATTATCAATTTTTGCCTGTAACACAGGTAAGGCTACTTCAGCAAAACCATCATTATTAACATTAGCAGCAATTTTTACATTAGCCACTGTTGTGCCAGGATTGTCAACATTGTCATTATTATCAACATTATCATATAGACCCTTACACATGACTGTATGGTGTCTTCCTTTGAGACATTGATAACAGTTGTCTAATTTGGCATGACAATCCTTTACATTGTGATTACCTAGACATCTGATACATCTGTCAAGTTCTTCCACTCCTTCAACTTTATCATTCCATGAATTGTATGCACTGTAATTCTTAGAAAAATGGGTACCCTTGCAGAAAAGACAATCTCTCTTTTCTCTGACTGGTTTCTTATTAACTGGGCTACTCTTAGGAGGGTACTGATTCTTCTTACCTTGTGGAGAATCATTATTTCTGATTCCTGCTACTTGATATGTACCTATGCAACTCTTTTTAGGAAATGAATTTTGATTATTAACATTAGCTTGACAGATACCTCAGAGTCATTATGTGTTGCATTTTTTAAATGAGTTGGTTGGCTGGTCTGCAACTGAACAATTAATTCTTGTAGACCTAGTCTTATTTCCTCCAGACCAAAATAACCTTTGTGATACTTGTTTGAGATCCATTCAAGTGTTTTACAGCTTAATTTATTCTGTACAATGGCACTCAATAACCAGTCTGATTCCTTCAGATTATATTTATTAAAGTTTTGAGAGTGCTCTCAAGTTTAACTCTAAACTGCTGTAAACCTTTATAAGAATGATCTGGAGTTTTTAAATTAACAATGATATTCACTAGATCCAACCTACTTTGTTCTATATTACCATAAGTGACCTTCAACAAGTCAACTGCTTCTTTGGAAGAATCATCTACATTGGGAAAGGCTTGTATGAGTATGTGAGCATCTCCTCTTATCTGTCCTTTGAGGTATAATAATTTAGTTACACTGGCTAGGTCACTCCTATCATGCACAGCTCCTTTAAAAATAGACCAAAACCCCTCCCAATTTTCTCCAGGATTAAATACAGGTAAACATAATTCTGGGAGATTTGGCAAAGACATCTCATTTGTTGGAATAGATTCATTAACTGCCTAGTTTACACCTTTTAAATTATTCAAAGCCTGATTTTTACAATAAAGAATCTTTTCTTCTAATTCATAATACTGGTTAATCATAAGATTTATTTCTGTCTCATCTACACAGTTTACTAACAAATCTCCTTCATATTTTTTTATAATATAATTTGTATGAATCATATCTATTCCCTAAAGCATCTAAATACAATTTTAAATCATCAGTATTCACAGTTTATTGATTCATTAATTCTAAACATTTATTGTATGCCTTTGTTACATGACCCTTTCTAGCCTGCAATGATGATTTTTTTTTTTTGCTCTAAATTCCATGTGTTGTCATCTACATTAATTTCCTCATTTTCACCCCATGATGCAATGTATTAAATTCAACTTAATTAATAACACTGATTATGTACTTAATTATGCACTTTATAAAGGTAAATATTACTACTTACCATGAATAAATCCTAGCTACTTGAGCTTAGCAATTACATGTAAGGAAATTATAATATAAACTTTAAATATACATTAATAATCTTACCTACACTTGACCTTAGCAAATACATGTAAGGAAATTATAATATAAAATTTAAATATACATTAATAATCTTAGCTACACTTGAGCTTAGCAATTACTCATGTAAGGAAATTGTAATATAAATTTTAAATACACATTAATATAAACCTTAGCCAGACTTGACTTATCCTTGCCAGACTTGGCTTAGCAAAATTGATATTATACAAATACACTAATATAAATTCTAACCAGACTTTGGCATAGCAAAATTTATATTGTACAAATACACTAATATAAATCTTAGCCAGACTTTGGCTTAGCAAAATTAATATTATACAAATACACTAATATAAATTTTTGCCAGACTTGGCTTAGCAAATTTAGTATTGTAATAATTATAATCCACTACACATTATGTAAATTTGTGGACCAAACATCCTTCTGTCATTTCACATTTAATTATTAAGTAATTAATTCAATAATTAATGACTTCACTTAGTACATCCAGTTCGATCAAGGACCAACGGGCAACTATTGTGGAAAATTAAATTTACCTGGATGTAACTCATAGGATACATACCAGTAAATGGTAACAAAGATAATTATTCTTTGTCAAGGTTACAGAGACAAGTAGGAATTTTAGAACACTAAGGTCTCAAAAAATGTCCTCCTTGGATACCTACTATAATCTATCTCTCCACAAGTCACTTTGGACCTATATTAATTTCAAATTAAATATACATCACCAGGAATTCTGGCAAAAACATTAATATAAATATTTGGACTGTATATTAAATTTAAAATGTGAATACATATACACTGAAGGAGAATTTATAATAATAAGACTCACCAATTAGTCTGGAGATTATGGTGTGTCATACCAACCCCCCCTGCCTAAATTTATGAAGAAAATATTGGCCAGAATTCCAACATAAATAGACATGACTTAGCTGGGGTTCCTGGACCATCCTATCCACTCGCCTAATGTTCACGTTATGCAGGACTGCAAATCCAACAAGTTCGGCTCCTAATTGAGAGGTTTTAAGCCCAATATAACCCCTAGAGCAACGAAAATTCTTCCGATTTTCACTAACGTGCCTGTACCACATTCAAAACAATGGCGTCTCCCCCATGCTCGTCAGCACCTGCGAAGAGCTTCCCTGTCGGTTCTCTTCTTTAAAATACACTTTAGAGCAATAGTAATGTATATTTACATTATAAAAAATATACAGTATAGTTTTGGGAAATTATTTTCCACAGTTACACTGGTCTGCCCTAAATTTTAAACTATTTATTATTGGTCTATGAACTCATATTTGATATTTGACTGAAACCATACCTAACATAGTTATTTAATTTTGTTTGATCTTTTCATTGTGTGCATTGTTTCAGAGGACGTGAGAGGTGATACACACTTGCCCTTGCGAAGACATACCTGAGTCTAGGTGTCGTCGTCACTACATTTTTGAGAGATACACAAAAAAAACCTTTGTACAAGATTTAGTGGAAAAAACGATAATATTCCTTTAATAGGCTATAAAGAATGTTTAGTAAAAAATGCTCCAACAAATGCTTACTCAAGAATTTTATAGTGAATACTTTGCTTAAATCTGACCAAGCGTTCACTTGCATTAATGCTTGCTTATGGCGAAATTTTCGGAGAATTTTTAAAGTTATGTTTAAATCACTTCAGTGTATAAAAAAAAATCTAAAGAATCTTTCGTCATAAAGTTACGTCCTTGAGAGATCAGAATTTTGATCTCTTCATTAAGACAGTAACAGATACGTCCAGAGACTCCTTACAGTGAATGTTAAAGAAGTGTCTTAGTCTTGTTAGTACGACTAGTGAAGGACACGTTATGCTCTCCCATAAGTCTAAGGATCTTGCAGATGAGAATTTTTCTAAACTGAGGAAGAAATTATTATTTTATACTTATATTTTAGACTGAGGACCATACTGAGAAAATATCCTCAGGCAAGATGACGTTCAACATGTTCAGTTTCCTGCCTACAACACTGGTGATAACAATGTTGTTACCGCTGTTACGTCTTGTCCTGGTGTCCATCATGAGAGAGTTCCGCCAGGCAGACTTCCAGTACAGTAGACCCGAGGCCTTCAATCATTACTATGATTTCATCGTGGGTGAGTAAAGAAGTTCAGAAGCGCATTCCTTTACCTTGTTCTCTACATGTTCAGGAAACTTAAAGTGCCTTCGCTGCTCTGCAGTTAAGCCAGTATTTTCTAAGTCACATCTTGCTACCAAAAGTATCTTCGTATAGTTAATATTTTAATTTAAAAGACGGGCACTTTTCAGTTATTTTTAGGGAAGCAGTGATACAAAAATGTATATGGAAAATTTGATTCCTAGGTAAGCTCATTTTTGATCTCTTAGCATGGCGGCATGTCTTGGCTGTTATCTCCGTGACAGATCATGTTTTAAGATGGGGGAGAAGAATGTGTGTGGAGTAAGTTTCTCGTGACCATGAAGTTTGAAGAGGGATATATCGATTTTCAGAAAACTAAAACTCAACTACAATAAGTTTCCATTATACGTAAAGATATTTCAGACATATGATAGGGAATATTTCGAAAACATAATTGGGATACTTTTGATGCATTTGCTAATATACTGGATAAATCTCTACAATTTTACTTTCAATAAATGAAAAACGTTGCCTTTTGAAAGCTACATAAAATAAACGAATTTATTTAATAATAAAATATAAAAATATATCACTTAATTTAGAGCAGCTTATTCTTAACCTGAATAAATTTTACTTTCTGCTTCATCTGGTGTCAGTTGGCGCTGGAAGTGCAGGAAGCGTGGTAGCCTCTAGGTTGTCGGAGGTGGCTGGATGGAGGGTACTTCTGCTGGAGGCAGGAGGGACCCCACCCCCGGAGACCTACGTGCCGGGTTTGGTGGGTCTCAACTACCTCCGAGGCAACACCAACTGGGGATACATCACCGTCCCGCAGAAACATGCCCTCAAGAACTTCGTGGGCCGCGTAAGTATTCAGTTTCGTTTCAAGGATTTAATTTGATTGAATAATTTTATCTAATAAAGTCTAAGTCCTCCAGACTGCAAAACTTCCACACATCCATCAAAGTGAAGGCATTATGCTTTCGACCTCCAGGACATAAATCCGGTTACATAGTTTCCCTGAATCTCTTTATAAATGTTATCTTGCTCACACTCCACCAGCACGTCAAATTATAAAAACCACTTGATTCCACTAACTCCTATCCAACATGTCTACACAAGCCTGTTCGATGTCCAAGCCCTTCACACACAAAACCTCCTTTACCCCCTTTCTTCAGTTTTTCCAAGAATGACCCTCACCCCTTCGTTCCTCTTCCCCCAGATTTATAGGCCACCTAGTGATCATATGCTGCCCCATCTATAGTGTTACACTTTTGGTAACACTATAGCTCCAAAATTCTCCAAAGTGCAGATTCCTTGCATAATATTCACACCACACATTAACGCTCACACAACACGTCTCCACTGTCTCCAACTTCCACCTACTGGCTGGAACATTGCTGCACTCTAACAGCACCTTTCAAGGCAGGTGAAATTGCCGACCTAGAAAATGTACAGAGAACTTTCACGGCGCGCATAACGGAGATAAAACACCTCAATTACTGGGAGCGCTTGAGGTTTCTAAACCTGTATTCCCTGGAACGCAGGAGGGAGAAATACATGATTATATACACCTGGAAAATCCTAGAGGGACTAGTACCGAACTTGCACACGAAAATCACTCACTACGAAAGCAAAAGACTTGGCAGACGATGCACCATCCTCCCAATGAAAAGCAGGGGTGTCACTAGCACGTTAAGAGACCATACAATAAGTGTCAGGGGCCCGAGACTGTTCAACTGCCTCCCAGCACACATAAGGGGGATTACCAACAGACCCCTGGCAGTCTTCAAGCTGGCACTGGACAAGCACCTAAAGTCAGTTCCTGATCAGCCGGGCTGTGGCTCGTACGTTGGTTTGCGTGCAGCCAGCAGCAACAGCCTGGTTGATCAGGCGCTGATCCACCAGGAGGCCTGGTCACAGACCGGGCCGCGGGGGCGTTGACCCCCGAAACTCTCTCCAGGTAAACTCCAGGCTACTGTAACTTCAAGGAAAGGAGAATGACGTTGCTCTAAGCTGTACACGCTACAAAAACTTCCTCAGGAGCAAAGCGTGGAAAGAAATAGAAATCTTAGTGAAGACTCAGGAATACATCCAGAAAAGCAATCAAAGCCCTTGATGAAGAATTTGAAATATGAAAAACTTAGAGCAACTTCAATACGCCCTTCCTCACTGTGGGTGCTGTGTATTGGTGACCGCTTGATTTGGGATTAGTTACAATATATATATATATATATATATATATATATATATATATATATATATATTATATATATATATATATATATATATATAGGATGGGGTCCACCTCTGGTGTAAATTGTATGACCCATAGCCTCGGAGAAGTGGATAAAAAGGCTTCAAGGAAGAATATTTGGATTTCTTCCTGAAGCCATTTGAATATTCCACTTCCCCTACCACCCCGTCTTTTAAACTATTTTTTTTTACCAATAGGAATATTTTATTACATAATATGGTACAGAAGATTTAAGAGATACATTGTTGATATAAAGGTGGCACATACGGTACATGTTGTTACGTGTGTATCACCGATTATAAGGCGAAAATCTCATCCAGCTCCTCAGAGCTGGGGCGTGTGCCCAAAATGCAGCTGAAGGAGACTCGAACCTACGAACCTTGGAACAAGGTACGCAGTGCTATACCATTCTCAATACCTTGGCATCCAGCTTGCGCTAGACTTTGATCCAAGGCAGCAGGGGATGAGATGAAAAGCTGTAAGCCTTTTCCCTGAAAGCTGGCTGCCTTGGATCAAAGTCTAGCGCAAGCTGGACGCCAAGGTATTGGTCCAGTGTGGTGAGAATGGTATAGCACTGCGTACCTTGTTCCAAGGTTCGTAGATTCGAGTCTCCTTCAGCCTGAGATCAATGTTTGTGTATATTTCGCCTGCTCTTGCGAATTCCTTTCATTGTTAAAATCTCTGGTAAGGCTGATGCATGAAGGGAATGAGATGAAAAGCTGTAGGCCTTCTCTTTAAAAGCTGGCTGCCTTGGATCAAAGTCTAGCGCAAGCTGGGCGCCAAGGTATTGGTCCAGTGTGGTGAGAATGGTATAGCACTGCGTACCTTGTTCCAAGGTTCGTAGATTCGAGTCTCCTTCAGCCTGAGATCAATGTTTGTGTATATTTCGCCTGCTCTTGCGAATTCCTTTCATTGTTAAAATCTCTGGTAAGGCTGATGCATGAAGGGAATGAGATGAAAAGCTGTAGGCCTTCTCTTTAAAAGCTGGCTGCCTTGGATCAAAGTCTAGCGCAAGCTGGGCGCCAAGGTATTGGTCCAGTGTGGTGAGAATGGTATAGCACTGCGTACCTTGTTCCAAGGTTCGTAGGTTCGAGTGTCCTTCAGCCAGAGATCAGTGTTTGTGTATATTTCGCCTGCTCTTTCGAATTCCTTGCATATATATATATATATATATATATATATATATATATATATATATATATATATATATATATATATATAAAATATCAATAACAACACTGCACTAGCCGAGGACTCGAACCCATGTTACTTTGGCCTGCCTCTTGGTGGGCGAAAACGCATGACGCCCTAATCCACTGGACCACACGATCCTTAAAAGTAGGGCATCCAGCGGAACTGGATGTTGTACTCCCTACCCAAGGACTCACGATGGTGTGGATGGCTCTAGGCTAATTTCATTCTAGTCCCTGTTTGGTGAACTAGCTCAACGAGCAGTATTTCATATTATTGTGACCACGAACGAGTAGTATTGATCAGTAACAACACTGCACTAGCCAAGGACTCTAACCCATGCTGCTTTGGCCTGCCTCATGATGGGCTAAAACGCATGACGCCGAACTCTTTTAAAAACGGAACTATTTAAAAAAGTTACAGATTGAAAGAATTAACTTTCATTGCCGTTAAAGCAATTATTTTTATTTTCGGACCAAACCTATCTTCAGTAACTTAATCTAACTTAACGTATTTTTTTAAGTTAAATTCAATTATATGCATCATAAGCCATTTTAATTTTTTTGTAATATCATTTCAAATAATGATATACTATATATTTCTTCGTTATGTTCTGAATGATTTCTGCAGATTTATGGCAAAAACAAATTTTCATTCTGCTTATTCGGCAGAAAACTCACTGATTCGGTTTATGCGGCACGAGCTTGTGTTCCCCAAACACTGGTGATGAACGTTGCTCCTCTTCTCTGACATCACTCCAGAGCGACAGACTGAATAGCTGGGTATTAAATGATAAAAAACGACATTAAGAGTGAATAGATGAGATGAGGAATGCGTACAAAAGATAAAACATTAAGAGAATATAAACGAATAAGGAGACTGAAATCAAATGGAGTATAAAAGAAAATCTGGGGGAAATATAAAAAGAAAATAAGAGAATTAGAAGGAAACAATGAGAGAGAGAAGAGAGAGAGAGAGAGAGAGAGAGAGAGAGAGAGAGAGAGAGAGAGAGAGAGACAGAGAGACAGAGAGACAGAGAGACAGAGAGACAGAGAGACAGAGACAGAGACAATGAGAGAGGGAGTATTGAACTTGTTATCAAAGTCAATGACGAAGCACATTGTTCGCTTCCAGAATCTGGAACCCGTGAATCTAGGAAACTGCGGTTCCTGGATATTTATTACATGGTTTAGATGATTTGAACGGTGTTCTGAAGTTACACGCTGGGGTAAACCTGTTCGCCCAGTTGTGAACAGCGTTAGTTCTGAAGTTACATTCTGAGGCAAACATGTTCGTTAAATTCTGTGGATACGCTCTTGCCTCGTATCATTTTTAATATTGCTAAACACCGCATCTTGGATGCTTGCCAGGAGGTTCTGTCAGTGTCCTGTAAAATCATTCCCTTAAATGTCGGGTCACCTGAAGATTCACGTTTCCCATTTTCACCAAGGAAAACCGGTACAAGGAGGCTATGCAAATTTCTAGATGGGCGACGAAAATTAAGCTAGTTCAGGTTACGTTAGAGTGCAAAATTAAAATATATCATTCTTCCTTCGAGGGAGAGTTAAGAGGTAAATCTCCAGCTGAGTTGTTTAGTCTTCACCAGTCCAGCGCTCTCTCTCTCTCTCTCTCTCTCTCTCTCTCTCTCTCTCTCTCTCTCTCTCTCTCTCTCTCTCTCTCTCTCTCTCTCTCTCTCTCTCTCTCTCTCTCTCTCTCTCTCTCTCTCTCTCTCTCTCTCCGTTAATGACTTAATTAACGAGATGTGTTGTGGTCACTGTGCGATCCAATAAAGGTATTCCTGTATTCCATAACGCCAGCCCTCTGTATGTCAATACACTCGAAAGGGCTAGTGCAGAATAAGGCATAAGTTTATAATGCATTTTAATACTGAACAGTAGGATGGAAAAAAAATCGGGCAGCCTCTTAGGAAATATACACAAACACTGATCTCTGGCCGAAGGTTCGTAGGTTCGAGTCTCCTTCGGCCAGAGATCAGTGTTTGTGTATATTTCGCCTGCTCTTGCGAATTCCTTGCATTGTTAAAATCTCTAGTAGGGGATGAGACGAAAAGCTGTAAGACTTCTCCCTGAAAGCTGGCTGCCTTGGATTAACGTCTAGCGCAAGCTGGGCGCCAAGGTATTGGTCCAGTGTGGTGAGGATGGTAATGCACTGCATACCTTGTTCCAAGGTTCGTAGGTTCGAGTCTCCTTCGGCCAGAGTGGTAAGAATGGTAATGCACTGCGTACCTTGTTCCAAGGTTCGTAGGTTCGAGTCTCTTTCGGCCAGAGATCAGTGTTTATATAATATATATATATATATATATATATATATATATATATATATATATATATATATATATATATATATATCGATGCACCACTCAGAAACAAGCGGGTATACACAGAGAAAGATCGCAG